TGATGTGACTCTCCCTGCAGGCACAATGACTACAAGGTGGCCTCCCCAGCCTTGAGAGCAGTGGGCAACATCGTGACAGGGGATGACATCCAGACCCAGGTGAGGGGACGTGGCTCTGAGGCAGGGCTCAGTACCCCCCACTGCCCATCTCACTCCTGCTTCTGCTTCCTCCAAAGGTGATTCTGAACTGTTCAGCCCTGCCCTGCCTCCTTCACTTACTAAGCAGTCCCAAGGAGTCGATCAGGAAAGAGGCCTGTTGGACTATATCTAACATCACAGCAGGGAACAGAGCACAAATACAGGTACAGCCTTCTCCAGCCCACCTCTAACAATCCTGCCTTCCAAGCTCAGCATTAAGAATTTGCAAATTTTCTCTTATCTGACACTTAAAAGTTGGGGGCTTTTTTTCTACACATGTTTTATTCTGCAGTAATTTGCAAATTTGCTGCTCCCAGCCATCTGCCAAACGAGCTAAAAAAAGCTGCTTAATTGTAGCAGCAAAGACTGGTTGGGAATGAGCCTCACAGGTTGGATCATTGGAACAGGAGGAGATGCAGCCCCTCTTTCTCCATGCTGAATTAGAGATGGCCCTTTGAAAAGCTGGAGCTTGTTGGGTTTTAATTATCCTTTTAATGACCTACATAGGAGGGCAGAGAAGTGGTGAAAGCACTCCTACAGTATTGATGCAAGAATAGGGACTGTCACTGTGCTAGTTGTGGAGTTGGGTATCTCATGTGAATAGGATTTGGCTGAGGAATAAAATGGAGGAATCGCTGAAGGGAACAGCTTGGAAAGTCCTTCTGCATTGGAAAAATGGAGGCAGAGGTTTCTTTCAGGTGCTTAATGGCCTTCTAGAAACTAACTCAAACACTTGTTAATACTCTCTCTCCTCAGGCAGTCATAGATGCAAACATTTTCCCAGTCCTGATAGAAATCTTGCAGAAAGCAGAATTCCGCACGAGGAAGGAGGCAGCGTGGGCTATCACAAATGCAACGTCAGGAGGAACTCCTGAGCAGATCAGGTACCTCCTGCAGCTCCTCTCGGGGGAAATTGAGTGTGTGGTGCCCTTGTCCTCATGGGAACTGCGAGAGAGGGACTCAGAGAACCTCTGGGGGAGTCCTTGAGACACGGGCAGAGCCGTAGCTGGATCATAGATTGTAGCTTCCTTCTGAATTAGGATAAATTAGTCCAAACTTTAGGTTGCTAAATGTCCAAACTTCATGACAGATTCATTTCCAGTGTGCACTTAATTTGAGGAGCACCTGGATTTCAAGGGGAGTTGCAGGTTTCTTAAGGGGGTTGTATAGAAATGCAACTAAGTGGATAAAATTAACCTTGCAGAAGAGTAAATATATATTTTAAGGTACCTTTTTGTGTTTTAACTTGACTCCTTTCCCTTGCTCGATCATGACCAAGCGTTTGTTGGTGTTCTCTCATCAGATACTTGGTAAACTTGGGTTGTATCAAGCCTCTTTGTGACCTGCTGACTGTCATGGACTGCAAGATTGTTCAGGTGGCCTTGAATGGCCTGGAGAACATCCTGAGGCTTGGAGAGCAGGAAGCCAACCAGAGTGGGACAGGCATCAACCCCTACTGCAGCCTGATCGAGGAGGCCTATGGTAGGTTGTGGCTGGTGGCCACAGTGCTGTTGGCTTTAACACCATAGGATCTATCAAAAGGTGTCTCCTCGTTTTGTTCTGCTGTGTTAAGGGATTTAGTATATCCCAAACTAGCCAGTATTAGTTCCAATAGTCTGTCTTTTTAGACTTTTATGATGAGACATAGTTTTTACTTCCAAGCATTCTATCCTGTCTTGCTTCTGAGACCTGGAGACTAAGCTGGTAATTGTGGCTTGCTCAGAATACTGATCAGAAGTAAGTTGAGCTAAGCAAAAAGTGACACCTCTGGGAGGTTGGAGCTAGATGATCTTTAAAGGTACCTTCCAACCCAAACTGTTCTGTGATTCTGTTCTGGGTCTCTGCTCTGACTGTACCCACTGTATGCTGTAGACATAGAGTGGAAATCCAGAAGGATTTAACTTTTCCCTGGAGCAACTTAATTTGGGTATTTTTGTCCTGCTCTTAATGCTCTGAGGAGCAGTTCCTATTTTGGTCTGAAACTCCCTGTATGTTGCCAGTGTCTGATTTGCCCTCTCTCTGGCTGTTCACATTGTGTCCTGATTCTCCCAGTAAGAATAATTCTTGAAATTCTTGAGCATCTTGTGCTGGGATGTTTTCTCTTCGTCAGTGGTTTTAATTAGGACAGCTAAAGCTGGTGCTGCCCTTCTGCTGGAGGCTACTGGGACAGGCCCTGCTTCCTTCCCCCCTTCCCCCTGCAATTCCCAAACTGTTCTCAGCCAGTTGTTTTAATTTTGCTGCTGGGAGCACATCTGCTTTAGCTGTGTCAGCTAAACCGACTGTTGAAGAGACATTAATGCTGCCTCATGCAGATGAAATCCCCAGCAGCTCTGGAGTCGTTAGAGACATCAATGCTGCTCAGAAAAGCAAATCTGCCAGAAAGAGACCTTGAGGTGATGGGGGGGAGGGTGGAGGATGGATGTGGGGCAGTGTAAATAGCAGGAGCTCCTCGTTTAATTGCATTCCACCTTTTTTATTTTCTCTCCAAGGTTTGGATAAAATAGAATTCCTACAGAGCCATGAGAACCAAGAGATCTACCAGAAGGCCTTTGACCTGATTGAGCACTACTTTGGCGTAGAGGATGACTCTGCTCTAGCTCCCCAGGTAGATGAGAACCAGCAGCAATTCATCTTCCAGCAACCTGAAGCCCCCATGGAAGGTTTCCAGCTATAATGTGCCCAAGGTGGAAAAAAACACCACCACAAACTTTCCAGAAAGCAACTGGGAGCAGCTGATGGTCCCATCCCCTCCTTGAAATGGAAGGCTGAACACCCACTCCACCTGTTAGGAAACAATTCTTCCTTCAAACAACTAGAACCAGTGCTTTGTCCTCAGAGAGAAGGGGAAGTTCTTACACTTGTTTTCTTTTTGCTGCTGCATATGTGTCTTTTGAAGCAGGCATCTGGGTGGAGGAAAGACACAGAGGTAACAGATTGCACCTCCTGGGTTTATTTTCTTTGTGGTGATCTCTCCCAAATGTCACTTCTTACCTCGGGTACTTAATTGAGATTTCAGCGTTGGGTTGGGTAAGAACACAGAGAGCAGGTAAGCATTCTGACAACAGTAATTCTGGAAACCTGGGTTGATCTATTTAATTTTTTTTTTTTTTTGCACATGTTACTCTTTATTAAAGACTCTAATTTGCCAAGAGCAAAGTTTAGCCCTGGCCTTTCTGCGACCCTCCTTCAGCGGACAGTCCTGTTGAACCTGGGCCGAGTTCCCCTGAAGCATACTGTAAATGGACAGAGAAAGGGGGAGTTCTCCCACTCCTGGAAAGATTTTTTTCATGGGGAAAGGCTTCTTCCCTTGATCTAGAATTTTTTTTTTGGTTTTGTTTTTTGAACTGCTAGTCGTATTTACAAGGAAAAAAGAAAAGCAACAAGACCCCAAAGATGATAACTCTGAAGAGGGTGGGGAGCTGGGTGGTGTTTGAAATAGGAAGCACAGCTGCCCTTGCACAGGCTTTGTTTGCATTGCTACTGACCGAAGTCACGAACTGTTGAAATGGTGAAAACCCATCTGCATCTTTACTTGAAGTATTTTTTTTTTTCCATGAGCATCTGTTTTGATTTCTGGGGTGTTTTTTTTCTGCCTTGGGCTGGGGTGGGTCATTTATGGGTTGGAGGAGGATATGGCTCCACTAGATGGTGTTGTGTGTGGTGTTCACTTCAGTAGCAACACGCCTGAGTTTTCAGGTTTACCTCCTGCTCACAGTCAGATCATGTACATTTTACTTAAAAAAAACCATAAAATCTCTGTATTTTTTATATTATATATAGCTAGATCTTTGTCTAATTGGGCTTCAGAGAAAAATATATATGAAATTTCTGTAATTTATGTAAATAGGGCACTGTGAGGCAGGCACACTTGGAAACTCACTGGCTGGTTGTCTGGCTGCC